AATACAAAAATATACTATATGTGTTGAAGTATACTTTTGTGGTTTGAAAAGTTTTCATCGGGCTGGACAAAAGAACACAACTAAAATTAGTTTGTGTTTAATTCTGTCATTAGGGTAAAAGTACAAACATTTAATTACTAAACCTATTTCTTGCAAATCTCAAGTCACACAGATTTTCTCTTGGAAATCATTTGTTGCCAATACTGTAAAACTCTTCTCTCTAACATGCGTAATGTCCCTTCTGCTTTTCTTCCTAGATGTCCCAGAGCATGTCGTCTGTGTCGTCACGGCATTCAGACAAAATCGCCATCAGAGAGTAAGTGAACACATCACATGTCCTTAACATGTGCTGCTCGCTGGTGTGAATAAAAAAAATAATGCATGCATTTCAATTAAACACATCATTATATAATTACCATGAATGTGTTGCGTTTTTGTTAGCAGTTTGCAGAACTCATCGTCTCATGGAATGTCCGTCTTTTTGAATGTTTCAGCTTCCAGGTTGGTGATTTGGTTCTAATCATCCTGGATGAAAGACACGACAACTATGTGCTGTTCACGGTCGGACCCACCCTCTACTTCCTCCACTCAGAGTCTCTCACTGCACTGGACCTCAAACCAGGTCAGCCTTGTCCACACCTATGATCAGCCTATGATGGACTGTAGTGTTGGAATTCATTTTGTGATTTACTGATAAGATAAACATAGATCAGATTGGTTGGTAATTAGATATCATATGTCAAGAATGAATAGATTTTTAAAGTGAATGTGTGTAATATATGTGCTTTATTTTTGCTTTGCTTGGACTTTGTTTAACTTTTTGTATGTTTGTTTTACTGAGTGTTCACTGAATATTTGTTTTGTTGTTTAGCATCAGGGACTTCAAGACGGCCGTGGGTTCTTGGAAAAGTGATGGAAAAGGAATATTGCCAGGCAAAAAAGGTATTGACTTTATCTCAAGTTGTAAAATGTTTTGTGTATCAAGAATTTCTAAGACCCAATATACTAACAAGTGTGGTCCTGGAAATCATGTTTTTAGTAATAATTTCCACACATAGAATTTTTATAGTTTTCTGATGTGTTGATTTGGTCCATGTCAGTAATTCTGTTATGTTGTGTAAATTTGCAGTTTCAATCTTTTGTCTGACAAAGTTCGCTCTCTTTTTGTCTCGTTTTTCTTCATCAGGCCCAGAACAGGTTCAAGGTCCCTTTAGGAACCAAGTTCTACAGAGTGAAAGCTGTTCCATGGAACAGAAAAGTATAATAGTTGAGTTATGAGCTAAAATGTATATTTATATTGCTTAATTTTTGATCAGAAACATGACATCGTAATTCATAACTTGAAAAATGAAAGACCTTAAAAATGGAATGAATTAAGATCATCATCATCACGCTCTTTTTGAATTTCAGTTCAAAATCCCACCTGCTACCACGTTTTTGTTTTCTTTTATAACCCAGATTTGTTATCGTGGACCAAATGCTATTAACCTTATTAGGGCATTGCCCTATACACTGTGGCATAACGCCATCTGACCTGTGTGTAAAATTGAACAAAATTTGGATGTTAAATATTAGTTCTCATTATCAGCCTTTGTCCTTTTGTGGAAAATACTGTGTCATTATCAGCATAATTAAATGAAAATATACATTTATTATAAATGTTTATGGAGGAATGTTCATGGCATGCATATTGATATATTTTCTTTGATTTACTTATCCAGATAAATGTTGTAGTTGGAAATGTAGTTAATGCTGTTTGTTACTCACAAAGCAGTATGGCCCTCTGTCAATACTGAAATGTACATTATAGCCGACTGATGGCAACAGTCGTCTTTGCAATCCTTGAAATGCACTTTCAAAAAAAACAATGCTTTTGTTGAATTGAAAAGGGAAGTGATTGAGCTGTCAGAACTAAGTAAATATATCAGCACAAACTTCTCACTATCATAGAATATTGATATGTAGAAAGGAAAACTTTGTGACTGTGTTTCATTATCGGATGACATTGTACATTTACCATCAAATCACACATGTAACAATAAATGACTGTATTGTAAAAGATAGAGTTTTGAAACAATAAAGGATTGATCCCAAGCATATTTCGTGTTGGCTAATTATATTTATTATATATTTGTGGCTAAGAGATGTAAATTATTTTCTTGGACTCACCTTCACAATGTTCATTTGGGAATAAAAGTTTCCCCGGTTTAAGGACAAATACTGATTTATTACACCAGAAGCCAATTGTTCATTTTTCTGAAGAACTATTTTACAATGGCTTGTGATTATAAAAGGAAATCGACAGTGACTTTGGGGCATTTACAGTCAATAGTTTTTTAATGATGCTTTTAAAAAATTTCTGGGGGATTCAGGAGTCAATGTGGAATACACAGTATAGTGTATTCACTTGATTTAGCATTTTTGCTTTTGTGGAAACATTAATGTTGGCACGGTACTGCAGGAAACAGACTTCAAAAAGGCTTCAAATCGGGGCCCAAGAACGATGCGGCCCTCATGGAGAAGGAAGCCCACCAACATCACTTTCCCAGTTCACAGCGGGGAGCATAGCAGCTCTCTGCCGAGCACTCTCTACCATGTGGGTCTAGGGGTGTTTTAACAATGTTTAGCTCTATTTTCTCCATTTAGCATAAGCCTGTTGTCACATTTGGATGGCTCCTTCATAAATTGATGGTGTGATTCCTACAATTTCGGGACAGGCCTGAATGACAAAATATGCAACACAACATTCGATACCGAGGTGGCTGGCAAGCACCAACCATGTGCACTGGACAGGCTCTTAGTGTAAATGTTTACAACCCCCCACTGAGCTCAGTGCTGCTGGGAGTCACTCTCATCAGGCTGAATGGGATTTAACATTGCCATGTGTAGTCTCTTGCTAGTTCCACCATTAAAACTGCCTTTGACTCGCCGTCAAACTTCTTTTCATAACAAATGACTGCTCTTCTCTACTATGTCATAAAATTGGCTGTTGTTAAGCGGCAAGCTCAACAACTTTCAGTATGGTCGGCACCTTTGTTTTAATATTTTGGGTTATTTATTTCAACAGAAAGTTGTCATTTAATTTAATTTTAAACAGAATTAGTCAAGACTTAAAATAAAGTTGTTTTTTTTCTTTTACAAAACCATAATTGGCAGATTGCATTACACATTTGAAGTGAAATTAATAAGTAATACAAACATAAATGTTGCATCAAGTGTATTACATATGTAGATAGAAGATATGACCAAAATTAATTTGTTGATTAAAAATTAATAAAAGATAATAAAACACTGTTTTACCATTAAAGCCTCTTGCATTCGATCGCACAATTAAAATGTGCCTGTAAAATAAACAACCATAAGATTGAATGTTTCTTTCAGACACATTTCTAAAGGATGAAGTGAAGCTTCTGCCTGTTAAACCTTTGAAATAAACAGTTTTGAGACCATTTTTTTAAATTTAGCATCATACTGACTTAATTAACATAAATTCAAATTATACTTTTTTATTACAATCAAGAAAAAGTTCAAAACCAACTTGAACTCCTTTTATGTGAAAAAAAGAGAAACCCATACATTTATAACAAACAAACTACAGTTATTGTGTGAGGACAGATTTATTAATGCAGCTTTCAAATGCCATCAGCTGAAATTCAAAGACGCATTATAATAGCTTTTCTTCACATGTCAACATATGCTGGAGGCACTAAATGAAGGTTTAGATGAGTAAATGTGAAATATCTAAAATGGTGTCAGGGACGACTCACTGTCATACAGTCTTAGATCTTGCCCTTTGTCACTGATATCTCCTGCATTTGAAGATAATACACAAGTTGTATTTGATTTTCCAATATCTCTGACTATACTAGATAGATGGAGCTGCAAATAAACAAGCATTATTTGTCGAGTAAATATATGCATGAACTTCAATTGATGGATAAATGAAAATAAATGGGAAAGCCTTAACACAACATTTATATTTTCTAAATCTAAATGGGACGAGTGTGTTGAAGAAGAGCCAGAAGGCATTAAGGCTGAAACTGCAAACCAAGGTGTAAATCGACTTAATGCCATCACATTTCCACCCTATTCATGCTTAAGAAAAGGGTTAGGAAAAGAGATTAGGTTATATATCTGCTGTCAGGGACTGAAGAGACCAAGTAGAGAACTTCCCCTAAACAGAATGATGATCAAACAGACATGCTTTAACAGACATGCTTCATAATCTCATCCGTTATTGTCCTCTCTCTGCCTTGACTACAGGTTCAGTGGAAAATCTTAGACAGGGGCAGATTAAATGTGTGATGAAATGTCTGAGAAATATGTGAGAATGCGCAATACGACGATGGTTGATTTTCTACCCACATGACGAACATAATCACTATTAGTAACACATATCCACATAAATATGATAATTCAAATTTTTAAACACATTTATTGGGTTCATATTGGAAATCATCACCATCTGATGGCATAGTTTTATGGATAATTACCGCCATAGAGATAATGCAGCATATGAAAGGGAAGCTTTGAGGCTTCTCCACTCACTGGGAGGAGAGTGCGTAGGTTTAGTTGTGCGTCTGAGCTGTGCCCAAAAGGCAAATATGTGGAAAGTTTGGTGACAAGCATTCAAGCATGTGGTTAACAAGATTGCATCTGGTGAGCAGAAAGTGTAGGATATAGCTTAACTACATATTTAAAGGGCACATTATTTTCACATTAAGTTCAATGCCATCCATAATCCTTCCAAATATAGACAGAAGTATTTCATTTTCAGTGGAAAATAATTATTCAAATACCCTATAGTGCAAATCCCATTAATTTAGTGCATGACACAGTTTTTGATTTCCTACCACAAAACAAAAAAACAGAGAAGAATCCAGCAAACATTAAAAATCTGTTGTCTTATTTTGGTAATCTGGCTGCTTACTGACAAGTAAATAATCAATACAAATAGTTCCGAAGTGTCTGAAAATAGACAGGCGATTTAAACTGTAACTAACAGCCATGCATTTTCCAGCTGCAGTGCAGTGTTGAGGAAATGACACCAGCTTTGATGGGTTGTATAGCTTTTGAGATGAGCCTCTTTATGCCGCTTGCAGTTCCATTATGGCTTTGTTCGAAAGCTTGTTTACCTGCTGATAACATACACTGGTGGATTCAGGAGCACCGATCCAAAATCTGCTGCCAAAGTCACTCAAGTCTCATTGTACTGCAGGAGGGGAAGAATGAAATGTTTATGCGGAGGGGAATGCAAATGCTAAATGTGAAATCAAACTATGGGACCAATAAGGGATCAGAATAACTTTGCCAGGTTTTATTTTTAGCCCAGTTGCAATGGTAGCTTTGTGGAACACTCCTCAGTTTAGCCTCTGTGCATCTGTGTGCTTAGGTTTTACTCAGCGGAGAAATGCTGTTCCAATTTAACAAAATGTTAAAACTGCAGATGATTATATTCTCGTTCAAATAAAGTGAAGGGAACACACTCTGATTCAATCATGCTACATCGCTGTAAATGACCCACCTGCTTGAGGAAAATATCCAAATACGCTGCCGTTTGTACGTTATAATATCAGGTATCAAATAACCAGCAGATCAAAAACTGCTGATCAGATCTCGTCGTTGTACATCACAAGAATATTTTTGGATTTCACTGTTAGAAAAGCTATGGTCTCAGGTCAAAGGAATAGCCCCTTGGTTTGCATATTAAAGAGGCTTTACTAGACCTCTGTTAGCCATGCATCCCCATGCAGGCAGGTCTCCAGGGGGCCAGCAGGGCCCCACAGACGGGCAACTAGGGGGCCAGGTGACCCTGTCTCTGAGGTTAGCAGGAAACACTAAAGAGGGATGGGCAGGGAGCTGAGGAGCCACTGAGTGCGAGTGTGCAAGGCTGGTGATGGCAGCTGTCAATGGTTTGGAAGGAGAAGCAGACAGATTGTGCGTTCTGTTGGTGCAGCCAGTTCGCCACCTGGCAGGCTTTTCCTTGTTAGAACTTCTTGCTGTTTCTGTTCTCATCAGAGAAATGTTTTTCCTCTTATCCTCTGTGTTCAGGGGGAAGTTAAATTTGTCAAAATGTTTAAAGATGTTTAGCGAAATGCAATTGTTTAAAGTGTGCTCAGTGCAATCCACAGAATTACTGCAGCTCAAATACAGTATAGAAAAAAAGCCCCATTCATTGATGGATGTAAACCTTGCCTTTCATAATTAAATCAAATTTACTACATACAGAATTAGAGAATGAACAGGGTCTGCCTTGTGAGTGTTGACTTTGAGTTACAATATTTAGCTGTGAGAAAAGGGACTGTGTTTTTAGGGGTGTGATTTGCTTATAAAAAAAATAATCTGTAACTTTCAAATCCCATCATAGCCGTAAACACAGCTCCATGTTGTTCAGTTGTTAAGAAAAATGCAAACGTAAAGCATGAACAGCTTAAAAGTACATTTAAAAATCAAATTTGGCAGTCGGTCCTTGTTCCAACAGGATTAAAAAAAAGTCTTTCATTTGATATAAATATATGCAAAGAGAGTGGTGTGGTGATCTGTGTGCCAGAGGTGGCGCTTTACTCTGGATATTCTGGCTTGGGCCTGTAAGGGACATAAATTAACATGAATTAACACATGCATGCAATAAGAAAATAATTAATTCAAGTTATCAGTCACCTCTTCCATTCCAGGAATCTGATTGACAAGATAAAGTAATGTGCAAACTGCTTCTCAAAGCTAACAGCCTGGAGCACCCCTCCTATTAGTTAGTCATTCCCTCAGTATCACACCCGGAATCTGTCATTTCACAATTTTCTCCTATAATGCATATGTGCCGCTCTCACCACTCCACTACAGCAACTGCCATATCACAAGTTGACACAGGGAAAGATACAATTTACGTCCAGTATTCAGTTCCATATACAGCGAGCATCTGAAGCAGACAGGTCAAGAATATGATACATGCTGTTCTCTCTAAAAATTGCTTTTGCGGGACAGGTATAAAAATAGTTTGTATCAATGAATTTATTCCATATTTCCCACCTTTCCATACGATGTAACCAAATCATATAACGAGTTTAAGTAAAACGTACACATTTATTGGGGTGCTAGGCCATTTTAATCTTTTATCTGTATTATTATTATTATTACCATTATTATGTATATACTACCTCTTTATTCTAACTATTTGTTTTCTGTTGTGTAGCATTTTCTCTATCAATCATATTATTATAATTATTAATACAATAATTATTATTATTATTATAAAACACTTGATAGGACCTGAGAGGCATGAGAGTAAGAAAAATCCTTGACAATTAAAGACAAGTAATTTCTTCATAAAATGTTATTTATATTCCCTAATATATATTCAGTCTTTTTCATATGAAGTCTAAGTTTTACTTATACCCTGTTGTTTTGTGCTTTTCTTTTTTCTTCAGATGAACCAGAACTATTAAACATCCAGAAGTTGACAAACTACCTGAAGATGAGTTGAGTCCAACAGTCAGGTGAGTTTAGCATCTCCATCTGTGTTGTGTTCGTCAGCGCTGCACGTTCACTCATAAAGACACAAGAGCCTGACAATGAACAAACCATCGTTAGAAACACTTTAATGACTAACTGTTGCCAGACAGATCAGTTAAAACCATCTTTATTTCAATCTGTTAACTTGTTGTGTGCTACGTTAGCTAGTTTAGCTAGTGCTAGCAGCTATAAGTAGCCTGACTTAGCCTAGTTCTTGTGTGTTAGCTGTATTCAACAGATCTGTGTGGTTTTGCTAAGTGTTGTGTTCTTGACTTGACAAAGTTCATTTCATATTTCATGTAGCTGGAAGCCATGTTGCTTTAGAGAGATACAGGTTACTCAGTAGTTCTACGTTAGCTATTAGCATCAGGATTTCTGAGTGACTACAGTATTCAATTCTAATTAGCTTTATTGACACAATGAATTAACGCTATGGCTAAATTATTAATTATAATAGAGTTTTTTAGTACCTGTTTGCTATGTTTCGTTCGCCACGTTTCCCTGATGATGATGAGATGTTACTGCTCAAATGGGAATGTACATGCTGTTCATTTAATTTGCTGAAAAGTGTATTAGCTTGTCAAATTTAGCTAACGTGGTTTTGAACTATGACCAAAGGGGCCGAAGTAAAAGCGAGCTGCAGAACCAAAGCAGCACACTAATCCCAATTTGGGTTGAAAGACATGTTTTTAAAAAAAAAAAAAAAAAAAAAAGCTCCAGAGGAGGACGGAGTGCACAAAAGTTGTTCTGTTGCCTGAGTGTGGTGTCAGCCGGTCCCAGTCCCTGCGGCCCTCACCGAGCGCCGTGCGAGCCTGACGGGAAACTGACTGCAGCTCAGGACATGGCCTCGTTTGTTCACAGTCCCCCCTCTCTGAAAAGAGTTATGCTGTCTGTTTTTGAATGGACAGCGTTTTTCTTTGTGCGCTCGATCAAAACAGAGGGCAAAGTTAGTCAGCACGTTGCATAGCTTCTGCATTCTGATTCTTCAAGCCTCTTTTGTATGAAGTTTAGCACAATGTTTTACACTGTGCTGGACCTGAATGGCATGCTGGAGGTAGGAATCTTTTTTTTGGTTTTTTTTAAAAACCAAACTACAAAATAGAAAAGGATAGAATGTGTATTTCCTATCAGATTTGACTCATTCACGTTTCTGTAACAAAACTAAACAAGTAAAATGATCATATGGGCTTAGAAACTCAGCTATAATTCAGAAAATGACAGGGTGCAGGGTTGCTGAAATATTTATATGCTTTTATCTGATCTATTTCCTAACCACAAGGTATTTGCCTGCGAATCCCTGGCACTTTTGATATTACCTGAAGGCAAATGGTATATAGATTTATACAAGTTATTTACAACAACAGCCAAACCATTCCTCTGGAAACTAGGCTGCAGATCAAAGGATTGTTTTGATCTCTACTTAGCATATTTGTTTAACCTAGCCAGTGATTCTGAAAAGTGCACAAGCTTTTCGGTGATATGCAGAGCACCCTTTATCCGTCTTTTTCTTCTGTTAGCTCTGGATTTAAGTACTTTCTGTATTTAGGAGACAACTGGATTTGCCAGCTTTTGAAATTTAGTTGCCCACTGCTAGCAGTCTTGGCACTCAGAAATAGATAACTAGGTATGTTCCACTGCTAATCCTGATCGGCCTTGTAATAGTATTTGCGGACTGTACAGCACTCAATTAGGGCATAATGTGCTATTTTTATTTCCTTTAAGTTGGATTAAATGTGAAAACATGTTTGTTTTTTTCTGTTTCCATCTGCTGGTTACTGTGTGGGTACTTTGCTAAAGTATTGTTTTATACTGTTTCAATCACAACCACTCTCTCCATACAGGACTGCAAAATGTCAGGAGAAAAACAATGTCCAAGCGGTCTCTAAAAAAGATGCCAGGTCAATCAGGAAATTTTCTGGAATGCTTAAGAGAATGCATATGCACACAATGCCCTAATTCTCTCTTACTTTGGGTTTGCGAAAGATGAGCCCAGGTTTATTGAGAGCCAAAAAAGGGGGCAGATGGCTCACAAGAGGGATAAACCTGGGAAGTCATGCTGTAAATGTGTTTTACAGAAAACAATGAAAGGAGCGGACAAAGCGATTGTGGCAAAGTCCTTTGGAAAATGGAAAAGCAGCTCTCTAAGGTCCAGGACCATGGAGAAGCCGGATGAGCCGTCCGAGGAGAGTAAGGAGGAGAGCCTTTCCAACTGCACCTGTGAAGCCCCCCAACTCGGCAAGAAACCAGTTGGTAAAAGTACCATATTTTCTTATTTCAAGTCTATTCATACTGCCGTGTCTCCCAGCTTATTTTTCTCGTGGCAATTTTAATTATTACAGTGGTGACTTGTTTTTTTTTTGCTTCTTTTTTTCCATTTGACTCTGTGGCCTGCCATATCCAGTGAACAAACAAACCACATTGTTGGGCAGGAGAATTCCTTTTGAGGGAAAGTGTGTCTCCAATGATACAGTGTTGCCAGAAAAAGACAAAGCAAAAAATAGCAAACACAAAAACAGTCACAGGTGCATGGGAAAAAGAGAGAACCGAGTGAATGGTCACTGTGGTCCCCAGGAGGTCTTTCAGTGTTAGCCAGTGCGGTGGGTGGACTTCTGACAAGGACGTTGGTTAGCAGCCAGGTGGAGTGTGTAACTGAGAATGCTCCTGTTTATTCTTTTCACATGCTAATGTGCCTCCTATGTGACTTTAATGCTGCAAAACTTTTTCTCTGAGTTATTATTTTTGTTGTTGCAATACTGTCACAGTAGTGGGCTGATTCAAAGGCTCCACTCTCTTTTATATAGGTTTGAGATACAGTGATGTAGAGATATATTTACCATGCTGTACATATTCACTGCCTGAAGGCATAAACATATGGCTTCTAAATCCATGAACCAGACCAGAGAAAAGGAGCAGATCACATTATGTGTTGAATGTATGATTATGAGACATGATTTTTACAATCCAGCTATATACACAAACATTTTAACTGAACAATAGGGCTTCTGTCTGTATGTTGATTTATTTTACATTTAGTAATGTAACAAAGTAACATTTTCCAGAAGAAATACTTATATTCTCGATGATATTTTTTATCTTATTTGGCTCTTCGGTCTATTATGTCCCATATTGTGTAAAATGTTTACTACAGTGTTCTATCTTAGAGAAGATTTTTATGCTTCCAAAAAACTGAAATCAGGCGTCTGACACTGTCATGAAAGACGACACGAGGGCCCAAGTTGTGAGCAAATGCACCCCTATGTGGACAAAGTAAGAACAGTGGGGTATTTAGATGAAACACTCAGGCCATGCAGTCCTCCTATCAAACTGTTTAGTATAATGGGTATCACAGTAAATGTACTTTAAAATATATCTTAAGCTTTCATTAGTGGTTCATGAGCCAGTCTAATGTCTAATTCAGCCACACAAAAGAGCAATGTGGCCTCACACTATAGTTCTTTCCATACCTTGTAGCGTACAACTCTAAATAGCTTCAAAGGCATCGCATCTGCCATCTGCACTTCTAGGAACTCTTCTGCATAACCATTAAAACAAGCTGTCTCAGAGGACATCGTTCGTATTTCAGCCTCAACCCTGAATTACTGTGTGTTCATTATAATTATAAGGGAGGAGTGTTGCCAGGCTAGCCCGCAGAATGCCAGGTGCACACTTCCATAATCTACCATTTTAAACAAGTCAGAGCATTAACAGCAGTATCTATGTTCTATTCAGCCATTAGTTCACTTTGGCTTTCATGCCCAAACTCGCATCCGTCATCCGAACATTTTGTATACCACAACAGACATACAGGGAGAAAGTGCAATACTTTGTAGTGTTCCATTTTCCTAAGCCTGCTTAGGTTATGTGACTGAGCCATGCCGCTGTGTGAAATTTTATCCCGATACTGGCACTGTATCCTTGTGAGGGAGTCTTGTAAAATAGGTTTACTTAGCGCCTTTGCTGGCATTTTCCGAAGATAGCAAATGCACAAACACTGTCCATGATCGGATTAACTGTTCAACAAAATGATGTAACTCTTTGTCTTTCTTGTGTGGCATAGGTTTCTGTGCTTAAGTTTAGTGGTCATCCACAAGAGAATAGAAACATTTGAAATCCAGTCACATCCCTATAATCCATATATTACAAATAAAATAGATGACAGCCTTGGTTAATTGCAACCTTTGTCATACGAATATGACATGTGACTGCCCAGAGTGAATCACTCAGCCAACCTATTCACTAGAAATTTTAAGATACCACCTGAAACCACAACAACAACGATCTTTAATTAACACAGGTCCTAATTTGTAAGGCATATAAATTTGAACTTTGCCTGATGTTCCTCTCTGGTGTCGAGGCACAGGATTTAAATTGCATGTGATAAGTGTGAAAGATTTTTTAAGCATCCATATACACTATAAAGTACGCTATGCCAAGTACACAGAGAACATGAATTTGGACCTGAGGACATATAGCTATACATCCAGAGTCACAAGGTATGTCAAGACAAAATCTTAATTACACAATTTATGACAGGAATCAGTTGAAATATCTCCATGGATCTCGCTTATTTACATTTTAATTACTACTATTACTTATTCTTATTTTTTGGATGTGACCATAGCAAGCCCAATTCCTCTCCTACACTAAAAGGGAGCAAAATGACTGTTTTCCACTGGAGGTTTAGATGCTTGTTTATCACTTTTAAATACCATCATCTTTGCTGAAATCCCCTCTCAAAAGAACCTTTCACTTGCTGGAATAAATTCAAATTAAAATTTAAATCCCTCTTTGCATTTCTTCAGCCTTTTTTAAAATAGCTGCCTCCTTTTAGAAAGCTGTTTATGTAGTGATCTGTTCATAATCCAGTTTGTTTCTCAACAGCGAAAAACACAGAAATCGTATTATCACTATCTTGGAGAGATGATGCGAGAAATCAGGAAGTATAAATGTCTGGATCTGTTGAAGTTTTCAAAGTTGTAAAGCTGAAGAGTGAGGAAAAAAGCCTTTCAATAAAGTCCTCTGTAAAACTGCGATTTGACTTGCAAATATGCATAAATATAAAGTACATTGTGCTGTGATAACTCAAAAAACATTTCACCTGCCTTTTGCAGAGCCAACCTAAAGACTGACAATATGGGCTCATTCAACAATACACAACATTTTGGCATGTTTCAGGTAGTATTTCTCGAATACTGTGGGTAGATAGGTCAATAGGAGATGTTCTTGTGTGTGACATGCAGCTATTGAAGAGAGAGCTGGAAGATTAACCCTTGGCACTGTCGCTGACAAGTCACAACAGCTCTCTCTAATCTGAGGAGGTGCTCTCCTTCCAATAAACCCGGGAAAAACAATATCTAATCAGAAAGGTAACAAACAGAAACAGCAGACGTTCACATGCAATGCCTTTTGATAACGACCCATTTCAGGGGTAAAACGATTCAGAAGAGGCCATAGGGAAATGTAATTCGCTCAAGTTAGATTGGATTTATTGTTTGGAAACAAATTATAATTGTGTCTCAAGAAAGTTAACCAAGATCTAAACAAAAGGAAATCAATGACCCACCCCCATTAATCACTCAAAGCCAGCTACTTGTGCTGAAGAAACTTACTTCATAATCAATTTCTTTGTTTTGCTCAAAGGGCATTTGCATTTTAGTTCATGTCAGCAAGCTTCCCATATCTGGCACAATCAAAAAACCCAAGCCATCAACATTAATGAAGTTTCTTTCTATTCATTCAAGTGCATGTCTCTGAATGCGCAAGATGATTTTAGCTTATTATGTAAACTGGCCCACAAATATTTTAAAGACAGAATAAAATCACGGTTGAGCAGTAGATTTAACTTTTTTAAAGCCTTTCATTATTTCCGATGTCACAGTTAAACATGTGAGACACATCAACTCAGACGTTTTTCTTTTAGTCTTAATGACTTAGAATGAACCAATATCTGTTCCTTAGGATCTTGCAATTGAGCGCCCACGGGACTTCTGAGACCAGACAGAAATGCCTCCCCTTAGTTGTGTCTAGACATACTATTATGGCCACCAAGGTCATTATCAAAGCATGCATTATACACACCTGTTACCATTGTTTAGATGCCCGTTTTTGGCTGAACATCCAAGCTCCTATCTTGCCATTTATAGGCATGTCTGCTTCATTGTCTGAATAGAAAAGATGGGCAGGGACCCCCCAGAGACACCCAGATCTGGACCTAACCTCTCAATGACACAACACAATGAGTCCACGGCCCATGAACTACAAAAGGCACACATCGACTGACCAGTCGAGCATTGATTTCTTAGATGTAAGCAATCAGATGCTCTCATTTGAGGGGAGGTGCATGTAGAGAGCAAGTAGTGACTAGTAATGAATGATTCATTTTGACTGATAAAGTAGAGGATTTAGACCTGCGGGGGGGGGGGGTGCTGAGACATTGACTGACCAGTCAGGCACTGATTTCTTAGTAATCAGTAAATGTAGAGAAGCAGAAACGATGAGTAATAAATTATGCATTTTACTGCAATTGTATAAATACTTGTTAAATCAAAACATTTCAATAACCATTTTATGGATCCATGTGGTTTTAGGAAAGATGGGTTAACTTTTGTCTTCATGCACACTTGCTCAGTGTTTCATGCAATTTTTACATGACAGGAGACCATGTTTGGTCACATTACATCTTTTAAACCTCTATTTTTAGCCACTCCACAATTTTATTATTCCACTAGGCCCACCTGAAAGTGTTATATTGTTAGTTTTGAACAACAAAATCAAATATAACTGGAGTCCTAGTTCCAAGTGTATCAGTAAAAGGCAAAGACGGAATACATCCTATATTTGTCCATAAAACATTTCAGATGTTATTGAAGTGTCTTCAAAGGACACTGAATAAACATGTTGTAAGGTTGCCCACGGTCACACACAAATCGGCCCAAAGGGGATTGCTGGGAAGTAATCTAATCATTCCTTTTAACTGAAACGCACTGACATGCAGTGTAGATAATGATCCCCATGAAAAATGTACTGTATTTTCAAAAGAATAGTTCCTGTCTGCTGACATTAACATAAAGATAGTTCTGCATCCTGGAGCCACATCAACAACATGTACTTATGTTTGGTTCCTCACATTTGCATATGCAAATAATTTTTAAAACATTTAATTCTGTGCTTTTATGGGACTTTCTGTGATGAACAAGCGGCATCAAGTGGTTGCACAATGAGGGTTCAGTAGCACCAAAAAGAAGCATTTG